TGCCCCGGGGCCGGGGGTGGGACCCGCCGTGGCGGCCTGGGCAGAGCCGGAGCGCGGGGTGGTTTGGAAGGCGCCTTGCTGGGGGAAGTCTGCCCCGAAACCTGTGGTTTGAAGAGGAAAAAACGCCAGTCTGCCCCCGATAAACTGATTTTTGTGCTGGGCAATGTCGTCAAAAGAGCTCATGTTGCCACCAGGCAGCTCTCTTTATCTAAAAAAAAACACCCTGAGTGGGTGTCGGAGCACACACAGCTCAGCTGAAGTGTTCTTGGCTCTGGTACCAGTCGCTGTCCTGCAAAAGAGACCTTAGACTCCAGGAAATCTTGGGGTTTTGCCCTTTTGAAATGCTTTTCAAATACTCTGTGAGTGATTTAACTGCTGAACGACTTCCGTTTTGTGTTTTATTAAAGGTGCTGTTAAAATTCCAACCGTTTCCATATCTCCAGAGGACTTAAATACAACTGCCATGGCAGAATTTGGGAATTATATTAAGGAAGGTATTACCTAAACTTTAATTCTTTCCTCTCTCTGCTGTTTAGATGTGTTTTACTAGGCAAATTGAGCAGCATGTGTGGTTCTTGACTATGATGGAACAGATTTTCATTTTACTTTAGGAAGAAGTGGAAAACAGTGTATTTCAGTGCAGCAATGCATTTGAGGGTAGCAATGGCCAAAGCTTAGGACTGAGGGTTTTTTTGCAACTATATTTTTTGATTCTGAGAGGGTTAAATGACCTCACTATTACTTTCTCCTCTTTCCCCTTCTTCTATATTTTTGTATCAGCCCCGTTTCAGCCTTTTCTTTGGGCTGCCCCATCATTGCTGCCTGTAAAACAGCTACAGCCCTGTGAACAGCATTTCCCATTTTTGCTCAGGAAAACCTTAAACAAAAGCAGATGGATTGGGAGAGCTACGAGAGCAAAGCTGCATATCTGCTTATTGAAGCAAATTGTGGCCAATCTCATTTGCAGCGCTCCTGCCGAGGTTAAATAGATAACTATGCTGTGGAATAAGTAGTGATAAAATTGGAAATCATTGAAATGTTTCTCTATTTTCTCCTTTGTTGTCTTAACAGTCTTTCCTGCTGTATTTTCTTCCAAGTTCATCCAACATGAAGTCGTTGGAACGTACAGCCATCTCTTCACCGTTCAGGGCTCCCGCCCTGAAATGATGCCCTACATGCTGCTGGCGCACATGGATGTTGTGCCTGCGAGCCCGGATGGCTGGGATGTCCCTCCCTTCTCCGCTGCGGAGCGCGAAGGTTTCATCTACGGACGAGGAACGCTGGATAACAAAAACTCAGCTATAGTATGTGTCATTACCAGCTCTTCTCGCTGAGTGACACCAAGCCTGAAAAAAAAGACAGTGAAGGAGTAGAGGAATCTATTTTCTTGAGACTTAGATATTGTGTCTCATGCTGTCTTTAAATGAAGCATATTAATGATAAATTCCCGAGGCTTGCAGTGTTCACCCAGCATTTTTGTAGTTCATATGAGCTTTAACTCTGTCTCCTTTCACCGTTAGGAAAAGAATATATTCCTTAATGCAGATGTACTTGGTTAAATGCCACATTTAAATTTTATGTCAAAAGCTGCTTTGAATTCAGGAGTAGACTTGGGATTACATTTCTCATTCTCACATTTCTATCTTCGTAACTTTTTTTTTGTACAACGCATACTGCTCATTAAATTAAGTGGATTTGATCAAATCAGAGTCAAATTGTATATAGTTTAGATAGTTTAAAGAAACAGTGAAGTCCTTGAATAATTGGAACTCCATCGTGCTTCCTCTGCAATTTGTCACTGACTTTCTCAGTAGCAAGAACAAGCCCATACTGTGTCTCTTGTCTGTAGGCTGATACTGTATAGCGCGTCTTAAGTCTTAAGCGTCATTGATCAGGACTGTAACTGTGTTTGCCAGAGAATGGGAAAATCAGCAGTAGGAGTTGGGGAAATAAAAGCTCAGCTGTGAACAGAACAGAGTCTCCTTAAGGGCTGTGAATGCATCATATTTCTTTTACGTTATTTTATTCTTCTTACTGACACCCAAGAATAATAGAATATACATTTTTTTCTGCAGGGCATTCTGCAAGCTCTAGAATTTCTGCTAAGAAGGAACTATAGACCTCGCAGATCTTTCTATGTTGGCATTGGACACGATGAAGAGGTATTTCTCTTTCACTGCATCTGAACAGCTAGTTGTATGCATTGTTCATGTACAAAAAGGCCCATTTTTAAACACTTTATCTACAAGGTCCCTCATGCTTCTTACAGTTACATGGACAGGCTCTGTCAGACACATGGTCATAATCACGTATGATTGTACTAATAAGTGGTACAAAGAGATAGACAAGGTGGGTTTGTTTACTCATGCTTGTAAATTAAAGTTATAAAAGAGTTCTTAATAGCGATTGTACTAATAAGTGGTACAAAGAGACAAGGTGGGTTTGTTTACTCATGTTTGTAAATTAAAGTTATAAAAGAGTTGTTCATAGCAAAAAAAGCAGTACATCTTTAAAAATGACTAATCTTTGTTCATAGCTCTGAGATACCATTGTGTCCAAGAATTAGCAGGATTCAAAACAAAACTCACTGATGTTCATGAATGAGAGAATCTCTCAATGTAGGTGTAAATTCATCTGCCTCCAGGCCTTTAGCAATGGCCACTGGATTTTGCTAGAAAGAGCCTCCTAATGACAGGTTGTCCTATAGCTGTTCATTATGGGATTTTTGCATTCTCTGCATCATGGCACTGGGACCAATAAGATATTTTCCAGTTTCTTGCTGATGATGTGGCTTAACCCGGCCAGTTTCTCTGCTTGGATTCTCACAGGTGTTTGGTCGAAAAGGAGCAAAGAAGATGGCAGCTCTCTTGGAAGCTAGAGGAGTGAGACTCTCCTTCTTGTTAGACGAGGGAAGCGGTGTCCTAGATGGCATCATTGCAGGAATGAAGAAGCCAGTAGCTCTGTAAGTAAAAGGATATGGAACTACCACAATAAAAGCAATCAATTTTCAATGCTAAAGATACAGCAGTGGTGCAGAGTGTATGCAGAGGAGCCCAGAGGGTGCTTATTGTCTACCACAGCTGTGCTGACAGAGGCAGAATTTTTCATTTAGCCACTGCAGGCATGTTAATTGTGTGCTATAGTCTGCTCCATGGAGAAAATGCCAGCACATCAGTGCTCCAGGGGTTTAAAGACTGTGGTGAAGATCCCTTTTTTGAGGGGGAGTTGGTTCTACAGTGTTTTATCTATTAAAAATGAGCAGACTAGTTCCTTTCACTTGTGGTTTGTACCTGTGTCTTTAGAGTCGCATTAATCCATTCATTTATTTATGGTTGATCAGAATAGGTATCACAGAAAAGGGTTCAATAACACTGAACTTCACTGTGGAAATGGAGCCAGGACATTCATCCTTTCCTCCTAAGGAGACGAGCATTGGCATTCTCGCAGCAGCCATGTCCAGGTGAGGGCTTCCTTGAGCTTTTTTCATCTTTACATTTAGAGTGTTTTGTAAATTCCCCTTATTTATTTGAAACTGAAGTTTGTAGCTCATTTAGAAGTGCAGAAATGTAGTCTCTGAGTGAAAAATTGCCAAATGTCTGCAGCATCTTTTCACTTCAACTGTTCCTAATATCTCCTCAGTCCTTGTAACCCAGACAAGTCCCTCGTTATCACACTTATCCTAATACCTAATGGGTAGCAATAGGAATCACTTGGTAGATTGCAAGATTTCCCTGGTATTTATTCTTGCTTATATCCACTACCTACTACCTTACAAGATTTCCCTGGTATTTATTCTTGCTTATATCCACTACCTACCTGCTCAAGTGAATAAACATGACGCAAGACCAGGATGTTGCAACCCAAAATCTGGGTATTATCTGTCTGTCCTTACCTGTTTGTGTAAATACCAAGCTGTTTAATAAATATCTATTTTAGATGATCTTAGAGGGCAGTTATGATAGATTTTGGTATACTGTTTTTCTATATTTCTGTGTATCTGCTGTAAGGGTCAGACTTTTGCACTTCTTTTCTGCTATTCCGGAAAGAAAATCTTTGGATGTGAGTGAAATGATCAGAAACCTCTATTGAAGCTGGGCTCGGAGTTTTATTTGTCAGGAGAAAAAGTCTGATTGCATCTCAAATACATGTCCACGTTCAAAAAGCAAATTCCCATTAGTCTTGGAGCAATATTAGCCAATGAATTTGTTCTAATTTTGATGTGCATTTGCTTTGCTGCAGGCTGGAGCAGAATCCCATGCCCAACATGTTCGGCTATGGGCCAGAACTCATGACTATGGAGCACCTTGCGTCAGAGGTGAGGGAAGAAAAAAAGTCATTTCATTCATAGAATTTCAAATTAAAAAGTGAAGAATTATCCAGCATATGAACATAGAACGTAATTATGGATTTCCTAAATAATTTACTGGAAAGGAGCAGACTTTAGCTGGCATTTTTCCATGGAGGGAAGTGTTCCTGTTGGCCGTATTTCAACTATAGCAAAATAATCTCTCCTCTTGAGAGCTGAGTACTTACAGATTTGTGCTCTTGTTTCTTCCATTTAGTTCAGTTTTCCTCTCAATCTCGTCATGAGCAACCTATGGCTGTTTTCACCTATTGTCAGCAGGTGAGAAAATATATCTGCCCTAAGCATTCCTACCCTCTCGCCCTTAAAGGGTGAGGCTATTTCTAGTTTTCCAAGGAAAACAGTTATCCCATTTTGTATTTACACAGTGCTTTACAGTTAGTATGTGCTTTATTAATTAAATAGGCCTTTGTTCAGCTTATTGCCCATGTAGTTGTGGTTCTTGTGTTTTATAGCTGTTAAACTTCTTTGGAATTTGTTTTGTTTCTCTTTTTCCTCGAGAATTCTTTCCTGGAAACCTTCTACCAATGCTTTGATTCGAACTACTACAGCAGTCACAATGTTTAATGCAGGCGTCAAGGTAACTTCATTTGGATTTTTTTTTTTTTTTTTTTGCCATGTGGTGTAATATAATTTGTGACATGACCCTTTATGCCACTGCTACCAATATCACTTTTATTTTGTATATGGCTTGCATTTAGCTACAATTAAAAGTTACTTCATTTCTGAAGTAACTAGTACCTGTCTCAGAGGTGCCAGTAAATCGGGGTTACAAATAGTCCATGGTTTAGGATGGACAAGACAGAACAATTTCCGTGTTACACGACAAGTATTGTTGACAATAGTTAAAACTGTGTCGTGGTCACAAACCCTGAGCAAGGCTCAGCTGGAGCGTGGCTTTTGTGAGGAGATATCTGGCTTTTACCAGCATTCTAGCAGCCTTTGCAGGCACCTTGTGGGGAGAAATAACAGGTTCTGGCTGGTGCTGCCAGGTCTTGCCCTAATAAAGAAAAGCAGCTATCCAAAAGCCCTGGAAAAAAAAAAGCTATTTTGTGTTCCATAAAAAAAAAAATCTGTTACTGAAAAATGTCCCTGAACCGGAAATAAAGTTACAGTGGCTGAACAGTGACACTAAGTGGTCAAGAGTGAAGTGGCACCCTGATTTTGTTTTTAAAAATATAACTTTTGGTGCTTTACAAAGCTATAGATAGTCATTCTGTAGGAGTTACGTCTCTTCGTTAGTGTCATTTGTTAAGTGTCTTATGTGTGTCATACTTGGGGAAAAGAAATGTGACAGTAATAAGGTATATTTTTTGGACACATCAGGTAAAAGATCGTTTTAAAAAAAAAGAAAAACTTTGGTAAAGTTTCTCAAAATATCTGAAGGGAGAAAAGTTTCTCCAGAAACTTCTATAACAGATAACCTGCTTGTTGAAGCAGTGAATATTTCTTTGTATAATTACCTGCATTATAAATGAGATTTACAGTATTTGAACACAGAATAAGGGGGGAGATAACCGTATTTATGTTAGTGGGAACAAGATGAAGCTATAGGCTCTGAGGGCTGCAGTTGCTTGAGCACTTCCTGAGTTTGCAGCTGGCATTTTAATCTGTGTTTAACTTTGTTTTAAGTTTAGATCCTTTTTTTATAGATAAACGTTGTCCCATCTTCTGCAAAAGCAACCGCGAACTTCCGCATCCATTCTGCAGAAAAGGCCACTGAGGTACTGTCCGTTCGGTCATTTACTTTTTTGCTCTCCTTTGGGTATTTCACTTTTCTGTCCATTAGCAACAGATGAGTAGTCTACAGACAGGAAGCTTCCCTTGTTTTTAATTTTTTCCATACCTTTCCACGTGGTACCTGTACTCGGGCTGAGTGTCCCCCTGCTTCCAGATGCTGCTTTATCCTTTCCTGAGCGAACTGGCACTTGCATTAACTAGGTCTTTGGGGCAGCAGGTCTGGAAAGCTCTTCTCTTTTTTCTCTATATTTAAACAAAGAGGGGAAGGGGAAGATGTGGGAATTGTGCCTTTGTGCAGGCTGTACTTCATCTCAAAGGAGGAGGGAAAAGGTAGGCAGTGTGTGTGAAAAAATGCATTGTTTCTTATGTCTTTTTCTTTACCTGGGTTTGTAGCTCGAGTAGCTCATCACATTTGGGTGGGTGGTTTGCTTTAATGGTGGGTGTCTTTATTGGCTGTTGCTAGGAGGAACTTGCAAGTGAGCAAGGTTGATTTATTTACAAGTGGGATATTCAGCACCTTCTTAGGAACTGTTTAAATTTCAAATACCTTCTGAATATGGAACAGGGTAAGCAGCCCAGATTTGGAAGCGTGCCCTGCAGTTACAGCAGTCCTTGTGCCATGGAGCACATGGATCATATGTGACTGTGGAATGGAAGCATTAAAGCTTGTTACCTGTGAGAAGGAGATGGTCTGGGGCAGTTGAGTGGGTATAACAGAACTGTCCAGCAATGGACAGTGATGAAAAAATACCATTAAATAATATCTTCCCAAACCAAACGTTTGATGAAAGTTTTATCTTTCTAGAAGCTTTTTCTCAATTCTGGGATGACCCAGCTTGTTTCCTTGGAGCAGCAGCAGCTTCGCCACATGCCTTTCATGGCTCAAGCAGTTTAGGAAGAGCCAGAGGCAGTGATTTGGATCAGATCAGCACTGCAAAAAATGTTAGCTTTCGTATCAGCCATCCAGTGAGTAAGAGGAGGACAGGTTGTCATTCAGTAAACACCCATGTGTATTTGGAACCACAATTGTCAGTTCACTGACAAACCTTTTCTGGAAATTGGATCGTATGCTGGCATCTACAAGGGACATTCCCTCATTTCTTTTGCTTATTTGATCTTTGTGGTTAACCCACAGGTGCTAGAGATGGTTAGAAACACTATTGCTGATGACAGAGTGAAGATTGATATAGTAGAGGCCTTTGACCCACTCCCCATCAGCCCTTGGGATGATCAGGCATTTGGAGTCCACATTTTTCAAAGAACCATCCTGGATACTTTCCCAGATGTTGACAGCGTGGTCCCAGGTAACAGCGAGCACATGATGATTATTGTTTCCTTTCCAACTTCCACCCTTCTTCCTCTTTCCCCCCTCCCCTGTTGCTTTGTTTCCATTTTTTGTGTATTTCTCCACCCCAGCTGGAAACTACTGGAAACAGCTGTTTTTTCCTTTTCAATTTGGTTCTCTCTTTCTGTTTTAAACTTCTTAATGTTGTTAGTTTTTTTTAGTAGTGGAAGTAAAAAAGCAAACAGGAAACTGACAGAAACAATGAGCCTTGAATTGGACTCTGCACATACACAGGAATCTCTTCAGGGAAGAAAGGAATCGGGAGGGAGGAGGTGGTCTTCTCGCTTTAGCTCTTCTTGTAGTGTTTTCCTACAAGTTTTCCTAACTGGAAAAGCCATTCCTGCTCTTGTGTGTTCCTTACGTTCCTTATGATTCCAGCCCCTTCCCTTGCTAACAGTTCTTTGCTACTTCTGTATGATTTGGATTGCAGTTTGAAACTTAAACTTGTGTGGACACTGGGTATCATAGCTGTCCTTAAAGCAGCTGAGCTGGGCGTTCAGCTGATTTGTTACTAAAGAGAATTTTCTTCTTTCAGGATGTAGCATAGACTGTTTTCAATTATTTGACTTTTGCTGTAGGTAGGGGTCATGTAAAACGGTTATCAGGTGCCTTTTCTTTCTCCTAGGAAATGTGTGGGTTGTTAATTTGCTGCTGTCATGCAAAGTAAACCTGAGGTTTATTTTCCAGGCACGTGTGTTGGAAACACAGACAGCAGGCATTTCACGAACGTCACCAACGCCATTTATCGATTTAACCCAGTGCTCTTGAAATCAGATGATCTTCCCAGGTACTGTATTGTATCTGCATGGGGGCAGCTGTTTGGGGTGGGGACTAGAGAAAGAAAATTGATATGTGTTAGGCAGGAGGAGGAAACCCAACCTTGTGTACCTTGGCATGGCCTTCTTGTTGCCTCACATTCTCATAGGCCACCCATTTCCTGCAGATTTGGGTGCTGTGCACATAGAGGATGATAATTACACTGGGAGAGCATTAGTTCATGTTCTTGACTTCACATGCAGACAGGCATCGTTCAGGTGTCCCCATCCCACGGTGCAGCAGGATTTGTACAACAGTGTCAGTCTGGTTGGACGCTGTATCTAGTGCTGCCGTTTAGAAGGGGCTGTTCTGTTGTCTGGCACACGTGCCGTTCCCAATTCATTAGCCCCTTCATGCTAGAGGTTACGTTTCCAGGCTTAAAATGATAACAAAGAATGTTACCATGCAAGGAAATGATTTATATTCAATGCCACGGATTTGTCATTTTATTGAGGTGCAGGTGAGGTGGCAGTTGAGTGCTCTGGTAACTGTACAGGGCAAAACGGCCAAGAACTGGGCAAAGGAGTGAAATACCTGTTGATCTCTTTCACATAATCTGATGATTTAGTCACTGTGGTCAGAGCCTCAAACTGCTAAATTATTTTGGCTGTCCTGAGGAACAGGCACTGCATGGTTAGAGACCATGTTGTGGTCTTTTCATGTTGAGTTTTGTGCTATGAAGTGAGCAGGCAAATAGGATGTTGGTTAAATGCAGGTGGGTCACAAACAAATGCACACTGGAGTGAAAACTGTCCTTCTCTTTCTACCAGGATCCATGGGTTGAACGAGAGAATCTCTGTCGAGGTTTATGAGAAACAGGTCGAGTTTCTCTTTCAACTGATTCAGAACTGTGATATTGAGAAGCTGCCGGAGCCTCACGCGAACTCCCATGAGCTGTGAGAGCCCTGAGAGGAGCAGCTCCCGAGGTAGACGCTGGCGTGGCAGGGATCTGGCTGCGGGATGCAGTCGTGTGGTCACATGAGCTGTGCCTGGAATTCCGTTACTGCAAATCATGGTTTACATTCCGATGGAAAAACTGCTGGTGGTTGCTTTTGATTCAGCTCCATAGTTTGCCAGAGAGTGATAAGAATCTGCACAAAACACAACAAATAACCCTGATTTCTGTTCCTTCCTATCCTCATGCAAATGTTAAGCTGATGATAATACATTTTTTCACACTTTCCTTAAATCCTTAAGCCTCTCAATTTGGTAGTCACTTAGAAACCTAAGCTATAATTCTCAGCCACTTATCCCTCTGCAAAAGAGCTAATCTCACTATGTGTGCTTTTGACAAACCCTCCTGTACAGAAAATTGATTTTTCACAAGGAATGTTGCTGTCAGAAGCTTGTGTGAAAGGTCTTCAGCGTGGTGCTGCTTGGGTGGGCTTGGGCAGCACGGGGCTGGCTCTGCTGCTCTGCTGCTTGGGATGGGCTTCTTGCCCAAGTGGTGCTTCCAGTCAGTGTTATTTAGATACTACTAATTCATGCACTGATTTCTAACTCCAGTTTAAAACACTGAGCTCCAGCAGTTCTGGTTATATTGCTTTAACTCTGAGGTTGCCCTGATTTCAGAGGTGCTAAATCTGCTGTTAACCCCTTTTCCCATCTTCTTCGTGACCTGTCCCCCTGTTCTCTCTTTAGTAAGACCCAGAATATCTTGTGCAGCTGGGTCTCAGACTAAGCAACTGCAGCTTTAAATAGGAAACTACATCAGTATTGTCTGCTCATACATGTTCTTTCTGCACTGAATCAGTTTCTCTGTAGCATATGTTTCTCTTTTTTCCTCTTTTTGATTCTAAAACCCGGTGATGCCAGCTCAGTAGGAGCAGGGAGCCTTCTCTGCTCCCTCGTGGCCTCACTAGCTCTTTTCACTTTACCCTGGCCCTTTTTTTTTTTTTCTTGATTCAGCTCTTTGGGAATCCGAATGTGGACAGGCCATTGATGCTGACCCTGTCTCATTTGCTCTTGCACTTCTTGCACCAGCGAACTCGTTAACACTCATTAAGCACTCTTCTTTTGGCCTAGTTATTAGTTAAACCAGGGAGAAATTAAGAATCAGCTGTTAGCCAAAACACAGGCAAGGATGGAAAACACTTTGTTGCACTGACATGGATTCTCTGTGCTACAGGAACCAGCCAAGTATCCTCCTGTTGCAGAGATGCTTGTTTCTTTTTCAGGGTGTGAGTTAGGCACTGGAATCTGTGGTTCTTCTATGCACACATTGTAAAACATACATGAAATACCCTGAAATGTATCTTGAAAAAGGGATGGAACTGTGATTTCTAGTCTTTCACCATTCCGAATTTATTTGCACTCTGATTTTATGAGTACAGCCAGTGGGCTTGAATAAATAGTGACTAAATAATTGAAAATGCATTGTAATTTTCAATAATAAAAAAGGAATGTAGATTAATTTCTGATTATTATTTAGTCTTTTAACGTAACTATATAATTGCAGTGAAGTCACTTCCACACCTGGTTCTGCGCTAGAGCAAGTTGCAGAGTTTCCATCAAAACAAATCCACATATTTTCCAGCCAGCTTTAATCCCGCACCCTCCCTGGTGGTCTCCTTCCTACACAAAATTAGCTGCGAGTCCTGCACCTGGGCAGGAATAGCCCCAAACAGGGGGGTTGTTCTGGGGACCCACCGTGTGGAAAGCAGTTTTGCAGGAATGGAGCTGGGGGTCCAGGTGGGCAGCGGGAATGTGACCAGCAAAGAAGGGAGTAAAGACGATCTCCAGAGGCCCCTTTCAGCCTCAACCATTCTGTGATTCTGTGTCATGCTGCAAAAATCCTGATTTGTGTCCTGGTGCTGTGCAGCGAAGACTGTGCCATGGTGTGGAAGGAGGGATTTGCTCTCTGTAATAGCAAAGGAGTCCTAAAGACAAAGCAGCCTTTATATGTTGTAATCTCTAATGCCCGATCAAAAATCACTCATCTCTGTTTTTGCAAGGATTATTTCTGTAAGGAGACGGATTTGAAGATTTGTCCTGTTGCTGAAGGGAAAGTGAAGGACAAGCAGCCCGGGCCAGGCAGAGCTGCGCTGGCAGGTTTGCACTAACGTGTGCCATGGGGTTTTGCTGACGAGCCTCCTTGCAGAGCCTCGTTAAATGCTGCACAATTAGTGCTAATTGTGCAGTGCCCCTCTGCAGTGCCCACTTCACTGCCAGCTGAAGCCCCTCAACGGAGGTAACTTAACCAGGCCTTTCCCTGGTGATCCCATGGTGGGAAGCACCTTTTCCTGCCTCTGCCCATCCTTCCCCAGCCCCTTCTGATAACGGTGCCCACTTCACACCCCGGCAGCTCTGCCCTTCGTGTCCTCGCTGGTTTCCTCACGTTAGCTGCCAGGTTGTGCTCACCTGGCACAGGGCTGAAGATCCTCCTAAGCATCGTGCACTGGCTTTTGCCAAGATCATTTAAAGCTTCGCATTGCACGATTAACTTCTTGATAAACACATCATGAAAAAGCAGATTGATAGCTCTGGTTCATTCCTTTTCATAATGAGTCACCATATTCTGGTCACATGGAGGAACTGCCTCTGATTCATCAGAGAAACACAGCCTGGTGTTCCGCTCCGAAGACGTGGCTTGGTGCTCTCTCTGGTAGGTTTTAATGCTGTTTGCAGCAGCCCAGGTCCAGCGTGTTACCCTGTTCTTGTGCTCTATGCAGAGCACCTTCCTTTTCCCCTTCTTGGCAGCCAAGCCCCCAGCTCGGTCATTCCTCTGCTCTTTCTCCAGCACCAAGTGGGGCAGCAGTGGGGTTATTTTGAGCCTCCAGTGACCGTGGAGAGTTCAGGCCCAGAGCTGGAGGCGAAGGCAGGAACAAGGTGGTTTCCTCCCACCTGGCATTTGACACTTGTGTTCTTGGCTCCTCTGCTGCTGCTTTGGTTGATGTTCATGGTGCTGGTGAGTCTGTTTTCTCAAGCAGGTGCTGTCACATCTTCCCCTCTTGGCTCAGCCAGTGCCACCAAGCAGGACCATCCTCTGAGTAACGTGGAGGCCTCTCAGCCAGAGCTTGCACTGCCCTTTGCCCCTCGGGAGACGCTCTCACATGAGACCTTCAGTCCTGCAGCTGCTGCCAGGTTAGACCTTGCCCTTTGCCAGAGCCCCCAGTCCCTCTGCAGAAGGTGCTCGTGTGCTGGGGTTTTACAGATGCGCTTTGTTTAGTCCCCAAATTCAGGCTCCCAAAACAACCCTTGAAGGAAACGGGGCTGCTGTGGCTCGGAGCTGTGCAGCAGCATCTCCCAGGCCTTGCAGCAAGACTGGGAGCCCTGCAGAACTGCTGCTCAGGAAATTCCTTGGCCGTTGCTCCAACAACACAGCGCAGCTCCGGGGGGTCCGGGCTGCGGCGCGGGAGCTTCCCGCTTCCAGGGCTTCCCGGGGCAGCGGGGCTCGGAGAGGAAGAGCCCAGGGAGGCGGCTCATTGAAGAGGGCCCCAAAGGAAGCGGCCGGCAGGTCCCAGCAGGAAGGAAAATGACCACATCCAAGAGTGGTTACAGCAGGGCGTGGGGAGGAAGGCCGAAAAGCTCTTCATCACCGCTGGATTCACCTAGGGTTGGGTCAAGGTCTGAGCAGGGGGATATAAGAAGCAACGTCCAAGCCATGGAGCAGATCCCAGGAGGATCATTATTTGCCATGGAGCACTTTTATTCATCCCTTATTCATTACTTTAAACATTGTTATTATCATTCTGGATATTTAAATTTGTTGACCACTGTCGGTTAATGTGGCATCACTGTTGAGATTCTGTGAAGGGACAGGAATTTCCCAGAGTGGGAAAAAGGGAGAGGTGAGATGATGCTAATTTATATATATGTATTTTTGCTGTTAATCTCTGCCCTGAGCAGACAAGAAGCCTCATGGTACTAGTCATTTCTTTACCCAAATTGCTGGAAAAATAAAAAATAGAGGCTTTTCCCAGAAGAAGGCAGAAATGAGGCCTGTGCCCAGCTGCAGACTCAGGAACCTTGCAGGAAGCCGGGGCCCTGCAGCCTCCTCGGCCAGGTGTCCTCCCTGGCAGAAAGCCCCGGGGATCTGCCCGAGTGACACCCGCTGTGTTTGTCACACCGGACAGCGCGAGGGCGACACGTGAATCCTGTTGGGACAGGAAGCCCTTGGGACCTTGAGGTGGTTGGCTGCTGACGACTTTGTTTCCTTCACAGGAGCTCTGCAATCCGCATTTCTGGTCCCAGGGCAGGACCAGCTGCTGACACTGCTGCTGCCTTCGTGAGCCGCTTTGGCTTTGGGCTGATCCCTGTGGGGTAAGTCCTTATCCACCACCCCTTCAGCCATGGAGTTTGTCTAAGGAGATTCCTACTTGCAAGGACTGTCAAGGTCCCCTCGGAATCCATGGGCAGAGGCAACTGGGGCTCCATCCAGGTCAGCGTTTGGATGCGGAGAGGGTGGACAGCTCTGAAACTGCAGCAGGGAGCAAGGGTCAGGACTTCTCACGAGATCCAAAGATCCTAAATTTACCAATTTTGGGGTGACTTTGGCCAAATCACTTCATCTTTATGTATCTCTGATGTTTGTGAAAAGGGAAGATTCTGCTGCCCGCGTCCCCTGCGCGTTTTGGCTCCGGAGGCCGCAGCGAGGTCCTTGCTCCGAGCTGCTCCGTGCAGCGCGACAGCCTCGGAGCGCTGAACTCACGTGGCTGCTGCAAAACACGTGGGCAAAACGTTCCCAACCCAGGGTGGCTCAGGGTAAATCCCTTCCTTCCCAAACACTTTGTTGCTGCTGGTACCTGCTCCGCTGCAACTGGAAACTCATTCCATGCCCTTCCATGCGCTGCCTTTCCGCGCGTCACCGTAGCTGCTGGGGGGTTTCTCTATTTCTGTTTTCTTGTCCCAGGCGGCTTTTGTCTTCGTGCTTCCATTTCCTGCGCGTGCAGCTGCCCGGGCTGCTAATCACCAAGGTCACATTTTGGTGTGTGCTCGGCTTGCGGCGGGGAAGCAGTTGCTCCGAGGGGGATATGGATTTTCCAAATCAGGAAGGAAAGATAAAGGCGGAAATAGTGCCCAAAAGCCCAGGGTTTTTTGGACAAAGGAAGGCGGAAGCTAAGGTTGGAGGCAGGATTTGGGACTCCTGGGCTCCCTTCCCAGCTCGAGTGTGGAGCTGTGTTGCAGCTTTAGCTAAGATATTACGTGCCTTGGTTTTCCCGTATTTATCTTGGGCTGTGTCACAGCAGGACGTTACGAGAATTAGTTAAATGGCTGCAAATGCAACTGCAAATACAACTGCAGATGGTGCTCAGCCTGTGAAATAGTGGGTTCGGCAGTCGGGGTAAGGCCAGGTGGGTACATAATCCAGGACATGTTGCCAATTATTGTATGTTGGGGGGGTGACACTTCTCATCTGCCCCAGAAATTCAGCTTTTTTATTTGCAGGGCTTGTTGGGACTGAGAAAGTTAGAAAACCCAAGTGGTTTTACCTGAGCTAACGCCACGCAGCTTTAAATGCACGAATATTTTGTCCTGCTTTCATGGTCATCCTTCCCTTCCAAAGCAACAGGTATTTCACGAAAGAAAACTGATATTCAGATATTAAATTTACAAGCAGAAAGGCCTTAAGCAGCAGGACACACGTTCCATGGGGCCC